TAAACCAGATAAACAATAGCCTATGGCTATAATTCAAATGCATATCTGGATTTCCTCTTCCTAACTGCTACTGTGGTTATCCCATGGCTTTGAAGAAATCATGTGGCTTCCCAAACTTAATCTTCCTTCACCAAAAATACCTCACCTACTCCCATCTCCACTGATTGGTTAAACTCATTTATCAATGAAAAGCTTCTCTGATTCCATAGGAGGGAAGGGAGGGCAAGAAAAGGGCAGAAACAAAAGGAAGAAGAAAGGTTAAAAGGAAGTGAAGAGAAAAAAAGGTGGCAACATAGGAGCGAGACATGAACTCAGAGAACTCTGATATTGGCCACTTAGGTAATTGTCAGTGGGAAAAGAACTGAACACAGAACACACAGATGCTGCAAGAGCAGGTATTTGACTGATGTAAAGCATTTTTTAAAACTAAATCACTTCCCCAGGAGCTTCCACCTCTTGCTTGATCAATGATCTTGCAAAACCAATAGTTCTTAATTTAACACTTCTGGAAACCAGGGAAGGGGGGGAACCGTCATCAAACAGGCACAGTTGGCAAGCATCAAGTATTAGCATTTGGCATCATTTATTACTGCTGTTTATGGTGATATAAATTAGGTTATACTGATATAATTAATAACCCCAAATTTAGGTGCAATAAATAGCAATATTTATCTAGAACTGCCAGCGTCTGGAAAAGCCCAGTCAAAACCACAAAGTGTTGACTGCCATGTGGCAACTGTGAGCCCACGTGTGGGAGTGCCAGATGTGCATAGAGGTGGTGTCACATCTGAGCAGATGCTGGCAACAGCTGCATGAACAGGCTGCTGCCAGGAGGGTGCACAACAGGCATCCACAGAAGACAGCCTGCAAGTACATCACAAGTTAGCCTGCAACTGCACAGGCATGCCTGAGCACACACACACCTTGGTACTCAAATGGCACATAACAGAACAGTGTGGACAGCAAGCAGCATTCTGTTTCTTTATAAAAACCTATTTTTGTGCTGCTATCGTTAGGCTTGTTACAAGTTCCCTTACTGAACCCTGCTTTCTGGGGTTTACACAAATGTGACTATAAGTAACCTAGTTTTGGAGTACAAAGATTTCATTAAACAGATCATAGAATCAACTAGGTTGGAAAAGACCCTTAAGATCATCAAGTCCAACTGTTAGGCCAAGACTGAAGGGGAAATGCTCCCAGTAAGCATCCTTCACTCTTCATTTCAAACTGCTCAAAGGTAATGGTATGTCATTATATCATCCTCTAAGGAAAAAAACTCAGCCAAAAGTAGGGGGCAATGACCAAGGTCTCATGCTCCATTGGTAGCAGAGGCAGGAATAAAGCACAGGTCTCTTGTTCACCCATAGCATTTTATATCACTTCCATAATGAAAGTGATTCTTCAACACTTCCTAGAGATTAATTCCTTTCAAAGCTTTCCTATTTCACTATGATTTAGTTTAAAAATAGGATAGAGGTACGAGCAAAGACAGTGAGCTACAACACCAAACAACTTTGGATTCTCAGAAGAACTTGTGTAAAATTAAGTCAGGCTGCGAGGATGCTTTCTGTTAAGTATATATGGCTGCCACCTCAGACTGACACTACTGGTCCTGGAGACTGAGACTATTTTTCTCCTTACAATTTATATTGAAAGAAACAAAATTAACACATACAAATAACCATGTTGGGTCAGACCACAGGTCTGTATGAGGTAGTATCCTATCACAAGCAGCGATGGGTCAAAAGCCAATGTCTGGTAGAAAGTGTAAGATGATCTTTATTAAAAGCAGTGTCTGTTATTTAATTTAAAATACAGAGCCATTATCAGATCAGCTGAATATTACCTGACAAACCTTGCACCCGAGTGCTGTTCAGGATGGAGCAAAACACTCAGCCACAGACAGCAACACAATTGCTCACCAATTCTCCCTGGACTGAACAGAGTCAAATTAGCCACGATATTCAGTAGTGATTTGTTTTTACGTGATGACAGCCTCACTTGCATGACCACTACCTTCATTTAGCATCAGCAACAGGGCTGCAAGTGTCTCCATCACTGACAGAGAGGAACAGAATCTCAGAGCATTGACTGAAGTGAAAGGAGGGTGGAGAGCTGCTTCCCAGCTGAGCTTAGCCACATGCAGACAGAGCATAACTGTATTACTGCAGTTCTGTCTGTGTTAGAGGATCATCTCTGCATGTAAGTTTCAGATCACATTAACCAAAGCAAATACCAAGACCTTGATCATCTGCTAGCTGCATGAGGCTTCCAAAGAGCGATGATGTGGGTACCCTGCTGGGATCCGCACTCATCTGCTGAGCTGAGCCTGCAGCAGGGAGGCAGCTGGGGAAGGGGCACATCTGGGCTGCTGGAAGAACCCCTTTGTAACCATACACCAGCATTCATCTCTGTGACTAGCAGGGAAGTGTTATGCACACCCAGCAGACACGGCTGGGGAAGAGACAGTAAGGATATTGAAACAACTGCCAGTAAAAAAATAATCCAATTCTTTCCCAAATAAAGATACTCAGATACCAAGACAAAAGCAACAGAGGCACTGAAACAGAAGACATTCATTTTTCACAGTAAGAGATGACATTGCTGGTTACCACATGTAGGCAGCATTCCCTGTACCCAGCACAGAGCCAAGATACTTGGCCTAGATAGTGGATTTGATGCATTCAGTATGTCCAGTTCTCACAGGGGAGAAGTGTGAGAGCACAGCAACATGTATAAAACTAGAAAAAAGCAGAGGTTGGGACGCTGGCTGAGGGAACACCAGGCACTCTAGCAGTCTTTTCATAGATGCCTGGTGGGCTTCCACGAAAGGGATTCTGAATTTCAGGACAAGCAAGTTGCTTCATGAAATGGGTTGTAAAGTGGGTTTGAGAGATGTCAAAAAATATTAAGTAAGTATCTTCTTACAAGAACTGCGGTCGATGATGGGCTATAGACCAGCTGCCTCATAAAACAGTTTCCCTCTTAGCATTGAAAGATAACAGAGTTTACAAGAGCATTTAAAACTGGATGATGTGGAACATTAAAAAACCAAATCATTCTGCATATGCACATATGGACATTAAGGGCCTGAAAGATATTTGCCTTCTCCAGTGGGCCTGGTTATCTCCAGCATACAGCCAGTAAATCTAAGTCCCAAAATAGAAGCATTTATTTCAATGTAGGAGGATGCAAGTCTACTAAAAAAGCACGTAGGAAGAAACAAGAGAATATATGGGCCACAGGAAGCTTCACAAGATAAAAGCACTTATAACACAAAGAAATGGCTCTCTCTTCCCCAGGCCTCACAATTGGTAACAGAGCCATAGCCAAGTCCCCGACCCCTTGCTCCTACCCTACATGCAAAGCTTACTAAACTTACTTTTTAACTCATCACCTGATTTAACTACCGTTTAAGCTCATCTGCAACAGCAAAATCGGACACCTTCCCGTGTGACGCAAGCTCAGGCAGCACGCTTCACCCAGGTGTCACCAAGAGCCACATCTTCCCTCCCAAGGGTCCCTTCTGTGCTACACTCGCTTCTGACAGCTGGAGAAAAGAAGGTCAGACATTCCCTCCAGTCCTCCATCTGCTGGAAACTTTAAGTGCAGTGGAAGGAAAAAAGAAGGGGAAAAAACCCCCACAACCTTTCTTTTCTGCTTCTGCTGTCTGGAAGGATCAAGGAAGCATTCACTGCCAGCAGAGGTTTCGAATACTCTAGGGCAGTATCCAGCTACTCTGGACTACTGATACACTCAAGTCCTGGGGAGCTGGCAGCACTAAAGCTGTGAGTGTTCACAGTCACAGACTAGAGACTGTCGAAAAGCCTAACCTGAACCAGACAGGAACAAGTTAGTTTAGAATCAAACTCAACTCTTGTCGCTCAGGACTGTTTTGTTGTTTCTGCAGAACTCGATCTGCACAGCCTAGCCCAAAAGCAGATGGGAGAATATATAAGAGAAATTTGTTCCTCAACACCTTGTGTGTTTCAGCACTTGTCTAAGCTGACCTTTCAGCTTCAAGATCTGTCATGTCTTCCACTGCAACAAGCCAGGGGACAGTTGTTACCAAAACCTGAAAGGACTTATCACTAGGTCAAAAAACACAATTCACTTGCTGCCAGCAGGATGCAGTGATAATGTCCTGCCCCTGAATCAGATAGAGCTGACAGTTATTAACTTACAGCCACTCCACACCCAAGAAAGTGAACAAACTACACTCTCTGCAGAGACACTGCAGATCGCTTCCCAGGGAAGTGCAAGCCTACCATATCTTAGTGCATCTTCAAACTTTCAAAGAGAATTCCTCTTTCACCGGCTGCATAGCAATATTTATTTCATGCTAACATATTAGGAACAGAGTTGTACTTTTTCACTCATGTAGAGGGGGAGAGGAAAGGCAAGTTAGTGTGGGTGGGCAGGTATGGTATGAGGCAAAGAATGCAAAAAGGAGTCAGTATTTTCCAAGCTCAGATTCAGTATCTCCTAGGAAAGGTGTGGGAGGGAAGATTGAAAAGGAGGTGGGAGAAGGAGGGAGCTTCACTATATAGAAATATTTCCATAAAAATGTGAAAATTTAATAGATCCTTACTCATCTCCTCCCCCCACCAGGCTATACAAAGCATTAATTAAAGCCAGTTATTCCCAAGCTTGCCTGTCTACCAGGTGTAGTCGGCCCTGCTTTAGCAGAGTAGGTAGACCTCCATTTATCAAGATAGATCCTGTTTCTCTGACACCATTCATACTTTATCCAGGCAATTGAGAGATCTTATAGCCACATACAGTACAGAATCAGGTACATCTGACTAATGCAAGACAGCACACTGGGCTATATCCCAGATCACGTTTTCCACTCAGGATTGATAATAGGATGAATAAAACGTGAGGCAAAGGGGATTCTCCAGACTCAAGACACTGAAGATGAGACCTGCTAGGTGCACAGGGATAAAGACTGAAGAGAAAACATCGGAACCCCAGAATAAGAACATGTCACAACTCACTTGCCATTGATAACTCCATCAGGGTTAAGCATGGGGACAATCTTGAAAATGAAGCATTTCCGCAGGAGATCAGCAATGGGGTCATTGCTCACAAGGAACTCCAGGGTCCCCTTCATTACCCAACTGGCATTGCTCTCACCAGGGTGAACACGGGCCACCAGAAACACATAAGGACGATTGCCTGTAAAACAAAGAAAAACACAACTAGACAGGAATTCTTATTGAATAACATCTTTGCAAGTGGCTTTTATTCCTTTTTAACTGAAATAACAAGCCAAGATGTACTTTAAGGAAAACACATCCCTAAATAGTCCAGACATATCCTGACTGTGCTATTTGCCAACTGATCCCAGGTTTAGTCGTAAGAACCAGCATGTGTTAGTTTCATCCCTTTGCTTATTTATTCTATGATAACTTCCAGATATTTATGTGCACCATTAAAGGGCATTTTGCATATGCAGATTACTGTCTCTCAAAATGGCACCGGTATACTTTCTGGTAATTCTTTAAAGTTTGGTCCTATCAAGCCTCACTAAGGTTTAAAAGGCAGCTAGAAAATATTTCATTTCCTCCATTTTCAGTTCACCATTAACAATTGAGAGCTTTCCAAGTCTCTCAGGAGATCTGTGCACCTATAAGACATCCAAGGACATGCAAGCTGCCCTGATCCCTGGCAGTAACCTGTGTTGCAAGGTCAAAAATCACATCTAATCACATTAAACTGATGTAATTACAGAAAATATATGAATATGTTAACCAGATAAGCTGCAGAGTATTCAAAACTAACCATCATTTCATATCCATCCAACAAAAGGTAGAAACAACAAAGCACACAGCTAAGGCAGGCTGTTAATTCTGGTAGAAAGGCAGTTTTCAGTTTTGTATAATATAGACACACAGATTGGCAAAGCTGATCTTCAGAAGTTGTAACTAGAAGAGTTCAACTGTTGCTAGCAATACATTTGGTATGGGAGACAAGCTGTGCGAATTTGGGCTTGGGGAGAGGGTTTGGAGCATTGCTTTGTTAAAAAAAAGAATAATCAAAGTCCTAGTAAATATGTCATTGATAAGCTCTGCTGAACTTGTTTCAAAGTAACCTGCACTTCGCATATCTGAGCACAAGGAAACTTTCTCTATTATTTGCTGTCCCTGTGAAAAAGCACCCACATTTGGTCTATTTACAAGCCTCCAAAACTTCTCAGTATACATATGCTTAGAAAAGACCAAATTTGACAGCAGATTCTTTGAAGATCCCATCTGTGCTAAGCATACTCCACAGATAGGCCAGGGAAACAGGAGAAAGCAGAGGAAGACACCTGTCAGGCACAGAAAATAAAGGGAAGGGACAAAGCAATTATCTGTCTCAAAATGATCCTTTTGTGAGCATTCCCAGTCTCAGGCTGTTGTCACAAGTCAAGCTGGCAGATTTACTTTAGTGGAAACCATTATCTGTCAGGGCATCGTGGCAAGGCCAAGATAGGTTTGTCCAGCTCTATCAGATAACGTCAGTACTCAGGCTGTGTTCCCTGGCATGAACGGAGGGACCCCAGTTGACAGGCTTGGGACTGGTAAACAGGACAGGAAACAAAACTAAAGGCATCAGTCAAGTGTCCTTGTAAATAAATGCTGAGTTAGCAAGTTACATGCCTTTGCCTTTAGCTCCCAAAGCCTCCCTTTAGCTTCCAAATGCTTTACAACTCATTAATCAATTAACATGAAATAGGAAAGGTAGAAACATCATACTGAAACAATACATATGTTATTAAAGAGCTGTTTAGTGATTCGTCTGGCAAAGCAAATGCTGTGTCAGAGGTGAAAATACAGGTGAAACTTCTCATTTCACAATCAAACATGGAATAAGCACCTTTTTCCCTCCTTAGCTCTATGTGCATATGGAGCAGAGCTGTACCATATTCCAGTACAATTTACTTATATCCTTCAGGAATGCAGAGATTTGGAAACAATCCGCTCTCCACACCTCCATGCTTTCCTCTTAAGCAGTTGGTGGGCACTGGAAGAGTGAACTGCACTCTCAGCTCAAAGAACTCCCACAGAGCAACTGTATTGTGGTCCAGTAAAGCAACTGGAACTCTGTTTCTCAATAGCCATGCATTAGTCTTTTATCATACTTACACCTCACCTTACTGAAAGGTTAGCATATTTACATCAATATATACACATAAGTCCCTAAGGCATTATGTGCCTTAGGATTCTTTTAGCTCCTGCAGAACTTGTAGCCATTCTGGGCTTTTCCCCCCAGAATTAGAGTAGATAATTTCTATTCTGCTCCAGCTAGTTGTGCTTTACAGTCTACCTTCATAATGCTTTCAAACAAGCAAAAACCACCTTCCACAAAGACATCAGCTGCATTTTGCCATTGCCAAACATTTTCTTCTTTCTCCCGTCACCATGATTTAGTGCTGTTTTCCAGGCTCATTACTGAGCTAAACTTATGGGACTGTGTTGTTGCAGCTGAGAATGAGGCTCTTGAGGACTCCTAATGGACAACAGCTGTAAATAGAACAGAGCAAAATAAAACGTGTTCTCTTTTGCAACTGATGAATACAGCTTTAACAACCCTTATCTCTTCTGTATATTGGGTGAGAGCACAGCATCTTAATTGAGAGGTTCTTTCTTCAGTCAAAATAAGAAAAAAGAAACTCTAAGCAAGGGCTTTCTCATCTCAGAAACCCCGGGAGAGTTTGCCATAATTCTGCTAATTGCAAATAGCATGGGACTGGCAGAAGCTTATTCTGAGTTTAGAGGGAGAGAGGAACCTATTCCGAGTTCTGTTCTTCCTCTCAAGGATGATCAAAGTCAAGCTTGTCATACATTCAATGTCAGGAAAGCTTCTGGAGTTTCTAGAACTCAAACCCCAGAAAATGGGGGGTAGGGGAAGAAACCAGACAGAGTTGTTGTTTGCTTATGGGTGACACAGCCCATAGCCTGTAGGTCCAGTGAAGGAAATCTCTCTATTCCAGTTAAAGCTTCCTTTAAAAAGTTCCCCTCCTGACAAGCACAACCACAGCTCTGACATCCCATTGACAAGGGAGCCATAACCAAGGTATGTACCAGCAAGGAAATCACAGGCTTGTTAACTGCCTGTTCCCTTCGCGGAAGCCATCACAGCCAAATCCCACATCCAAACACCGCACTCCCCCAGACTGCACAGTGCATGAAGGCTAATGAAGCAGCAAATAGAGCAAAGAGCTGATGACATGGCCATAAAACTTGCTACCCTTGAAACACCTGGGAAACAAAGATTTAACTCTGGGGCAGACTCGAGACACTCGACCCTATGCTCCACCGCATATTCAGTTACTGATCTGCCTTGAAATTACTGTGATAACTGTGAAAAACATTAAAGCCCATGAAAGTAGTGGACAGCAGCACTGGCCATTCACACTCAGCCCTCCAGCTGCAGGCACAAGTCAAGATTCCTGTGCTCAGTTCAATGCTTCACCTTCATCCCTAACTTCCACCACCCCATAAATGCTGTCCCAACCAGACCACTCCGTATTACCCAGCATAACTTATTGGTTTACACTAGTGCCCAGCTGCCCTTCTTTCTGTGCTATTTCAGAGCAACTTGTACTACCTCCTGTGCCCTGCTAAACGTGGATACACAACCATAGCTTCTTTCATATACATCCTTCCAGGCCTAGAACTGGTATGTCTTCAAATTCCTCAGGCCAGCACTTAGGAGGATCCTCCCCAAGTTCTGGGGAAGCTGCCAGGAAGCTCTGGTTAGTCATTAATCTCTGCAAAGCCCACATGACACATAACCTTCTCTGGGAATGTAAATAATAAAAAGAGAGAGCAGAGGAACCTTTTCATGCTACATAAAACCTTCTCCAACAGATCATGTCTCGTTACAGTGTCACATTTCGACATGCCCAGAATATAACACAGCACCAACAATACCAGAGGTGAGAGATTAAAGCATCGCTTGCACTTCTTGCAAAACTTTGAGCATAAACCCTTTGAGTAATAATTCTACTAATATATCACCTTCTTCCCATCTCCCCTTCTCTTTGCACATTTTGACTGTGGATATATACATGAAAAGCAGAGCTTTGTTCTTCCAGTACTGCTAACTTGCTGCTTAATCTCCTGCCTGTTAGAAGGACCCTCCTCTAGTCATGTCATCCCCAAGGTTCACTAGGAGGTGACTTTGATATCACTAATCGTGACATCAGTTGGGGAAAGAGCAGCCTGAATGAAATGAAAAAATCCCCATTAACACAGCAGCATCCCTCATCAAGAGGAGCACAGAAAGGAAATGAAATGCAGCTCCAGATGCCATGACCTGGGCCGATGTTCTAAATTATTTCAAGCTGAGATTTGAGCCATGCCATTTGTAAAGGGACAGGGCATTGAAACAACACAGGGCTAGGATTTCATAAGGAGTCAAAGGGAATTATACACACAGCATGTGGGAAATTCAACCTAGATCTGGGTCTCAACTGGAACGTTTCTGGCTGTGTTTCTGTACAACTCTTCCCTTTACCCAAACCCAGGGTCATTAAGGCATAGATTTTTTTTTTAACCCTTCCAACTTCATTAGCTGTGGCCACTACTGGGTATTCTGCGTGTCAAATGATGGGTAAACAGGAACACAACCACAGAGATCTTCTATTCCTGTCACAGCTACATCCTGTCCTGGATACATCTGATATGCCCAAGGCTGCAGAGTTATGCAAAGCCAGAGAAAAGACAAGATATGGTGTGATGTACAATGAATATATTAAAGTATGTTTGTAAAAAGCATCGAATAGTGAGATCACAGAAAACCCAAAACTGATCTGAGCCAGAATCTGTGTCAGACACTTTACTCCCCTCCTAAAACTTTTATGCTATTTGTCAGTCTTTCAGTTTTCTCAAGATAGAATAATTGTTTCCTCCCTATTTCCCCCACCCCAGCATTGTTGGTTGCTGACCCTGCTTTTAGCTAAATGCTCTAGAATCAGGCACATCTTAAGCCAGAGGCAAAATACAATCTGGTAGGATGAACTGTTGTCTTCCAGAATTATCAATGAGTGCTTCCTGTCTCGAGCTGGGCTGTATTATATGTATTATTACTGTTGCATACAGCAAAGGAGTGAACATCATAAATTGCCTCAGCTGACTGTTCTCTACCTTCATAGCTTGGCGGGGGAGTTTCAGGCTCCAAGTTGCTTG